CTAAATAATGATAGTTAGATAACGACAGTTGACAGATATAAAAGCAGTCCCAGTTCTTACTCTTTGAGTGAAATAAATATCTATCAATAGAGCGGAATAGGATCTGGGAGTCACACTAAGCGACACATTAGGAGCTTCAGTCTACTATCACCGTGTAGCCAACAAGGCCTATGAAGCCTAGGGGTTTGTTTTGCAAACTTCAAGGAAGTCTAACTCCTTCTCTTTACACCACATTCTATATTCTGTACACACGCTCTCATTTACAGAAAAATTTGCTTGTGATGTCTCCATACCTAAAAGGGGAAATAGCCATCCTAGAACGAATGCCGAGGTCTACAAAAGAAGTGGTTGGGTTGCGGTACAAACCTCACCCAGACCACTTAGTTGCTTTTAAGCTGCACCCAATGCAATATCAGAGGATCAGAGGGGATATGATCAGGATATACCCTTGATTCTAACACATTCTTCCTTAGCTTCAATCAAAAACGCCACCTGAGGGGTCACCCGTTAAGAATAGGGCATGAAAGCACGTATAAACATGCGTGCTAACTCGTTTGCAGTTGCAGTTTGCAAAGTATGGAACTTCCTTCACCAGTTGTTTCAACCCCAATCTTGAGTCCTGTGGTACCAACAACATTCAACATCAATAGTGCGAGTGGGGAAACTTGCAGTTTTTGAGCTCTCGCTTCTAGGGCTTGAGGCTTGGTTCTTTTTGTTAGGTTGTACTTCTTGGATGGTCGCAGAGGTCTTTGCGTTTTCCCGCTTATAGCTTTGGAGGTGTTGTTTGTCTACTTGAAAGTGTTTTTTCTGCAAATTGTAGCTTGGTTTGTTTAGGGGGGGCAAAGGAGTTGCTGATAAGATCAATCAACCGTTTGCAATTCCTGCTGTTGTAGGCACCTGAAAGTAAGTGTTAAGCGTTATTTAAATAGTGATAGAAACGGGGTGAGTGGGGAGTAAGAAAAGGAGAAGTGAAAAGTACTTTTGAAAAGATACATGCGACTGGTAATAATATAGAGGATTATGCGTCTCACTGCAGATGCTGGGGTTGGGGAATACATGGATGGAGGGGCGTATCATCGGTTGCTACTAACATATGTTCGCGGCAAGCCATTTGCGCTCACATACTCATCCAGTAGTCGTTTGAGGGAGTTGACTGATGTAGCTGTGGCCTCTTCTTTTGGCAGCGCGTTCCATGAGGCACTTGCTCTATGGGAGAAGAAATCAGATCTCACTCTGGTCTTTGCCCTATCGTGGGGTATGCGAGTGGGGTTCCCACGGGATTGTTGGTTTTGGACCGATAATGTTGTCCTCCTGCTGGTCCACTTGATGAATGATCTTGTAGGCTGTTATCAAATCACCTCGCTTTCTTCAAACGCTTAATATGAACAAGTTAAGTTGTCTGAGGCATTGCGCATTTGTTTTGCATGTTAGTCCGACAACCAATTTTGTTGCTCTTCTTTGTACCTTCCCGAGAGAATTCGCGTCTCTCTTTAGTAGAGGAGGGGCTATCGGGTTGAACACCTCTAGATGTGGTCCAACGTAGGTTTTGAATACCATGAGGAGTAACTCCGTGGTTGATAATCCAAGTTGCCTCCTTAGAAAGTGCATAATAGAGTTCGCCTTTGCTGCCATCCCCTTATAGATACCAGTAGTATCCAGTGTGTCAGAGAAGTTTAGTCCTAGGTCCTTCTCCGTGGATACCTTGGCGGTTGCATGCTTGTTAAGAGTGTAGTTGATTTCATCGCCTCTGGTGTGCGAAGATACATCACCTTGCACTTCTCCAAATCAAAGCTTGCACTGTTTGCATCTGACCAGGACTCCAGCTGCAGCAGGTCAGTTTGGAGCATTCTAGAATCCCAATCATCGCCTATCGTCCTCCACATTTTGATGTCGTCAGTGAATAGGAGGATAGATGAGGAGATTTTGGTGGCGAAGTCCTTTATAAATAGTAGAAATAGGAGTGGTCCAAAGGATCGCTCCTTGAGAAACTTCTGTTCTTGCTTTCCTCCAGGTTGATCGAATTCTGTTTACTTCGGTGCAGAATTCTCTATCCTCTAGATATGCTGTAAGCCATGCTAAGAGTGGTTCAGTGACACCCACTTTTACCAGTTTGGCGAGCATAGTGTGGTATGGGACGCTATCAAAAGCCTTGGCCAAGTCCAAGAAGATAACGTGAACTTGTTGTTTGTTGGCCCATCTGGTAGTCCAGTCATCCTGAGCGGTCGTCAACTTTGTGGCACATGTCCGCCCGGTTCTGAAGCCATGCTGGGTGGGATGGACAATGCTATTTCTGCTAAGGTAAATCCAAACAACATCTGCGACCGGACTTTCCAGTACCTTTGAAAGTATGGGGAGTAATGCTATCGGCCTATAGTTGCATGGGTTCTTTCGGTGAGAGGATTGCGCGTTTCCATTCTTTGGGGGAGTTGACTTACTTCCAGCGAGTGCGTGAACAGGTTGCACATAAGTATGCTTGGCACTTCAACACAGTTGCGTAGAACAACCTGTTTTATGTTGTCACAGCCTGGGGATTTCCTTATTTTTAGTGTTGAACGTTTCGCAACACTTGGTTTGACGAAATCTTCACGTTCATCAGCTTTGTATATCAGTCCTGGGACTTCGTTACATTGCTAGATGTTGATAGTGGATGCATTACTGGTTTGAGTTGTTCCTCAAATCGACTGCTCAACAGTTCCTCCATCTCACTGCTGTTCCAGAGTTCTCCGGTCGGCCCCGTGATCAGGTTCAAGCCCTTATTCGTCGACTTCCGTTGTGACATAAACCGATACGGACTTTTCGGACCGCAACACAACTGTTTAGCCAGGTTGCCTTGGTATGTACACCTGTCATTGCGAATTCTTATATTGCACGAGTTTCGTAAGGTCTTGTACCTTTGAAGGCCTGATTCTTTGCGTGATGTACGCCACCGATACAATGCCTTCTTTTTCCTTTCTGTTTGTCTTGGGGTTGCGCGAGTTACACAAGACCGTTTTAGAGGTGGCCGTCTGGTAAATTTTGGAACACTTCGATAACGCTCAAGATAATATCTTTAATCTGTATCCAGTGTTCGTCTATTGATAATGAGTCCTATTCTTGCGGTCATGCAGCCTCCAGGAATCCGCTATTCGTGAGGTGGTAGTCTGCTTTTCGGTAACAGCGGAACGCTTCTGGCTCAACTATTGGTGGTCTTTTGGTTATCAGAGAGAATCGCACGGATGCGTGATCTCTTTTACCTAAAGGGGGGTTGATACAGATATCGTCCACCAAAAGATCATCGTCTGTCAGAACGTATTCGAGTGGTGGTCCTTTCCCATCTGGTGTTTTCCCCAACCTTCTCTATTAGTCCTGCTGCCATGAACGTGTTTCGGAGTTTGTGTTCGAAAGATTTATGCCCACATCTTACTTCACACTCCAGGCTGTGTCGGTGCGTTGAAGTCTCCAGCGAGGACTACATGGCCATAGGCTGCCGAGGTGGTTGTTGCTATGGCACTGAGCTACTATGCCTTATACTGTGTCGTACAAAGGGGAGGCCGACATACTACCCCTATCAGGTACTTGGTTTGGTTCATGGTGAAATAGCACCATAAGAAGTCTGGCAGTAGGCTGAACACACCGTCAGTCACTTCCTTGACTTTTAGATGAGTGCTAGTATATGTGGCAACTCCTCCGCCTTCTTTGAACTGCCTGTCCTTTCGGAACAGAGTCATGTTAGGCTAACATATTTCCCTATCCACCATGTCTTCTGACAGCCATGTCTCCGTGAGGAGAATTATGTCTGCTTGCAGTTTATGGAACATTGCTTTTAGCTCCAGTGGTTTACTACTAAGACCTCTCACATTGCTGTAGAAGCATGGTAAAGAGCTACGTTCTGGGCTTAGTGCGATATGGGGACTTGTTTAGAGGCTAGTGTGCCGTTGCACTGGAGTCTCCGTTTTTCGGCTTCTCTTGACATCCTGCTGCTGCTCTGGCAGTATTGTTTATTGTGCCTGCAGGTAGCTGACTGGCTGATTTTTTTCTGACTGGTACTGCTTGTAGTGTTCTCTAGGTTGCCTCCTATCTTCTAGTCTGGTAGCTCGTGGTTTACTCTCACAACATCGTATAGCACCTCGTATTTGGTCTTTCACACGGTACCATGCCGTGAGAGCTTCTGCTAGCGGTGCTTCGCAGTCAAAGCGTACAGCTAGCAATCCTGGTGAGGAGATGTTCTGCAAGTTCATAGGTCTTGGTAACCTACTTACGCTGCTAGCAGGTAAATTTCAAAGTCCCATTTTTGCTGCTAACCACCTCCATTGCTCGACATCATGAAGGTAATTATCAAGCATCGTGGAACAACTCGCCAGTTCGTGCATTCCGTGCACCACCATGGTTGTGGCTTTGTGCAGGTCACTAAGCGGGGACTTCCTTTCTGCCTCTCGGGTTACCCAGGGTTTGTCTGGCTTCACCCGTATGAGGCAGGAGCCTGCAATGCCCGGTCGGCGCGACAGCAGCAGTATGTTCTCCGACTGTTTCGCAGTCACTGCTGATACCCTGAGTGGTGGCGGCTTGTCTCGAGGTGCTCTACTTCCTCGGGAGAGTCGGCATAAGTTGGCTGCGATGGTTTCCATTCCCAACTTTCTGCAGTAGTCATCCCACTTCTCCTTGTCAGACTGTTCTCTTTTTTCTAAGACTGAGTCTGTTGGTATAGGGACGTTGAACAGAATAATGGAATCTATTATCTTGTCCTGTAAGTGTACCAAGGGGCTGTACTGGAGAAGCTTTCCGTCATCTGCAGATCTGGTGTAGTAATACTTCTTTGGGACCATATTATTTATTATCGATTATCTCCATCCTTCAAGGTTTTCCGGAACAATGAATTAATAACTGCGACCATTCTAAACCCAGATCGTACCCCAATAAGACATACTTAGAACCCAAAGAACTATCGTTCACTTATTCTACAACTCGCAGTTTAAAGTTTAAGGGCCGCGCTGTTTTCGACATTTGCGTTGCTTCTTGTAATAATGACAAGTGGTTTAATTACGCTTATTGCTGAGGATCAGCATTTCCAAGTTAGATATTTGTTTTCCAGTTTTTTGCTGTTTTAAATGATGCAAGCTTAAAACACCACATTGCTCATCGGTTTCAATCTGAGACAGTGATACATATCACAGTTATTTGGTACCTACTTGAATTATTATCCAATGGGTTTTTCACGAATACTTTCTTGGCTTTACCCTGTCAGACTTTTCAGTTGTCAGTAACTTTGGGCACACTTCGGACTGATTCTATTATAGAAAGCCTAGGCTAGGGCGAGTTCAGTGCTAATGCAATACATTTTCTGCTGTACTCGAAATACTTTCAGAATTCTCTCCTGTAGTCAGAGGTAGCCCCTGGTGTTTGGTGACTTTTGTATTGGTTTGAGCAATAGTTTCTGCATTAACATAAGGTATACTTTACGGTATCGGGCTATTGCCTGAGATTTTTTGCAAAACTTTGTACTTCTCCCTAATTGCTTAAAATTACCTATCCTAGATCTTTGATTCCTTGCGAAATAGAAGGACTGTTATACTGCAGTAGACTTAAGTCGTCAGTGATTTTTTAACACGCAAAATTCTCAATTCAAAATAATCGTGACAACGGTGTTTAAGTTCATGCAGTAGGCAGTTAGCCACACCTATTGTGTTAAGGCTACTAAAGCTACCTATCTACTCAACTACTGGTAGGTGAAACGATTTCAAAGCTGTGACCTATAAGTTTAGCTCGAATACCTTGACCAATGAAGCCCAACTCTCTGCATTCTATAATATTGAGATCAAGTAAATAGGGGCTCACCAACTGTGGCTTTCACCCTTTTCTCTCCAACTGCACTTCAGTAATAATCCTGTCGGTCTTCATAGACTCGCTATTTCTGTTTGCAACAATAGGAGATAGCTGGTAAGTAAGTGAATTACATGATATTCACACTTACGAATAAAAATGATATTAGCGTCTTTAATGGTGTGGACTACCGCGAGTACTTCGTGCTCTATTCTATTAAGGATTGTTCAAAGTCCTTTGTATAGACATATTGGCATCTGAACTGACTATACTTGAAATCTGGTCACGTGCGCACGAAAATTTGGATGTAGTAGCCTCCTCTCAGGGTCCCACATCTTCCGGGCAGTGTTTAAATGCCTGCTTACGGAGACTGTCAGCTTCGTAACCACGTATTCATTAGGCACGTTATTTTTGACCGTACGGAGTGCCATCACTATGTCTTCCGTATTTTTCGAGTGACTGATCTGCTCAGTCGGTTACAATCTTACCTGAAAATTATAGCAATGAAAAGCAAACTAACGTATACGTCTTTGGACATTGCAGTAGCTGTCATCCTGCATTTCATAAATTCAAATGTGTGCTCACTGTGTTGTGGAAGGAGGGGGGATTCTAACAATATCAAATATGATAGCGATTGTATTCAACTAAGTTATAGTTCTTAGTATTTTATGACTTCAAGAATGGAAATATTGCAGCGGAGTTTTGGAAGTTCAGCGGGTTGGTAATGAACTCCGAACTTTCCAGCAATCTTGGTGGCTAGTCCAACGGCGAACCATCTCACAACACCTTCAGTTGAATTATCTGTTTCAAATTATTCATCTCTCACCTAGTAGTCCACAGAGGTATGTATTAACGGTATAACTACGGAATATTGCTGCTCATAAAAGCAAACGTGCTTCGCATTTTTTTCCTTAGTAAGTACAATGACACGAGCCCATTAAACTAGCCACTATATATATATATATATATATATATATATATATATATATATATATATATGCCATGAAGTGACTTGTTTGGGTGCATAGTTTAGTCTTTCTGTAATCCGTTTATAGTTTTCAACTACTAAATTATTAGGCCTTTGCACTGACTTTCACAAGCTGCATATGTAAGACTCGTGAGGGAAACATGAGACTGTGTTGAAAGAAACGTGTGCAACTCCATCGCATGAGGACATCAAATCAAGTATTTCTTTGCTGAACATTATTTTGAAATTGTTGATGAGCTTACGTTGTATACGTCTTATATCAAACGTGTAGGATGACTCAGGATTTATAGGCGTTTGGGAAAATTAAAACTCAGCAACCTTGTGCAGTTTCTTTCAGAAGACATTGAACCGTACCTATTGTGTTAGGGCCAGTGATACTACCTGGCTGCCTAAACCTCGATTGATGGGGTGGTGTTCGAATTCTCGGCCTACTACTTGAAATTCAACTGTCTAAACCAATGGCCGACAGCTCCATGGCGGATAAGAAGAGATCTATGAAATCGTTGCACAGATATGCCTGCAAAAGAACTTTCAAATAGGTAAGACAAAACAATCTACGGTCAATCACTTCTCACTTCTGAATGTAGTGAACACTACACATTACGCAATCTGTAACTAAAAAGGAGTAACACCAGCTATCCGATTTACACTCAAAACCGCTGCTTATCTATTTCTCCTATTACTGATGTCTTTGCAGTGGTTTTGTGTTGAATCAACTTAATTTGCTCTGAGGTAAACAAGGGTAACGACAGTGTTGCAGCTTAGAATGACTGTGAGACTACTTTTCCTCTACTGTCAGGCCAAAACTATTCGACTAGATTAAACTTCCCTTCTGCCTGTGACTTCTTTGGTTTTAGAAGAGAGAATAATCTAGTATTAAAAGCAGACCTAACAAACATGTTTGTGGTTGGTCACTTTTACTACATCTCTGTTATTTGACTCTTTTTTATATATTTTTGTCATCACTCAACTTAGCTTCAAGAATTTGCTAGTTAACGTTCATCGACTGTGTTGTGAGTCTGAACTCCTACAACTAAACGCCCTCAATTTTGTGTAGGTTCCTCGAAAAATGTATATTCTCGTTGGTATTCTAATGGATGAGAAATCAAGATGGGAATATAAGCCTTGATCTGTTACTGTCAAGAATAATATCATGATCTTAAAATGCGTACATTCGGAGTTTGCAGTAGATAAGAGTTGTTATTAAAACCCAGAATATCAAAACCATCCATCCACCCATATCAACATATGACCAGGCATTACTGCATAACAGTCCGAGTTACCACACCTCATATCAGTACATCAAGTAAAAAGGCAGTGAAGTGCAAGATGAAGATAAGAAAGTCCAGTCAAAAGAAATATAAAGTACGGAAAGAGGGAAGAGAAGAATGAGAAAATGGTGAGATTCGCTATAGCGTCGTTAAGATGAGGATAATGTGTGCATACATCTGCGCCACTGACATCGGTTCTGAGACATATCACCTAGAGTCTCCAACCATTGGTTCCTCTTGTCCCATGGACTCCAACCGGCTAGTCTGCATCATCCCACATGGCTGAAACCAACAGTCAAAGACTTGATACATTGGTGCGATGTTTTAGTCTGACCACCTCAGACCTTTTTCCAGCCTGAACCTACTCCGACCAACATTGTGCGACGAGGCAATCGGTGACTAGGCATACGCAACACGTGTCCTAACCATCTAAGTCGATGAAGAATCACAACCTCGTCAACTGACTCGCATTTTCTTCCGAATACTCCACACCTGACTTCTGCGTTACTCACGTGGTGACACCACGGAATATGGTCTATACTACGAAGATAACGGTGGTCAAAAACCTGAAGCCTTCTCATGTCTTCCACCTTCAATGGTCATGTTTCACTGCCATACAGTAGAACAGACCGGACTTCTGTGCAGTACACGCGACCCTTAATAGACAATCGGATATCACGGTGGCGCCACGGGTGGCGTAAGTTGGCAAAAGCCAACGGAGACTTTTGTATCCGTGGAGAGATTTCACCAGCCACTGACCAACGTACCACGACTGATCCAATTTTACAGGTAAGTTAAGTGGCCGACACACTCAACCACTTCACTCTCTATTGTTAGCCGAGGTGGGGGCACCGTTGAAGACCAATCCTGGAGCAACAATTTGCATTTTGGTGGTGAGAAACGCATCCCAAACACTCTCAACTTCCCACTCAAAATGTTCGGATGACTCTGCATTTTGTCACTGTCTTCACCTAACAGGACTATGTCATCTGGACATTCTAGGTCTAACGAAAATTCTCCTGCAATTAGGTCAACCTATGTGTAATCAGGTGACAAGAGGGAGACTGCCACAAGAATATCTATGATGAAATTTAATGAGAATGAGGAGAGTAGGAAGCGTTGACGGACACCACCCGACGAGTACAGCTCTCTGGACATCTCACCATAGGCTCTAACACGCTCACAAGCGTTCAAGTAGAGAGCCTTCAATAAGGTGATGTACTTACTCGACACGCCTTCCAGTGAGAGACACTGCCATAAAACTTCTCGATCAATTAAGCCAAATGTTGCCTTCAGGTAGAGAAATACAGCTCTTGTCGGGCGTCTGTAAGCGTGTCTGTGTGCCAGGACCTGGCGCAGTGTGAATATTTGGTTGATACACCCGCGACCGGGTCTAAATCCTGCCTGGTTTTCTCGGGCTAGTTGTTCCCGGGCTACACTCAGGCGTCGAAGAATTATAGAACCTAGGATCTTAAACACTATGTTCGTCAGGCTAATTCCTCTGTGGTCATCACCACAGGACTTCTTATCTTTCTTAAAGACTGGGATGATAAGTGATTTAGACCAGTCAGAGGGGATCGTATTTGATTCCTATATACTAGCTAACACTTCCGTTAACCTGTCTAAGAGCACTCTACCACCATCCTTGTATACCTCAGCAGGTGGTCTGGTCTTGCTCCCCTTCATTGTTTCAGGTTATCTACCGCTTTCTCGACGTCTGCAGATGTTGTGGGGCCCATCTCAATGTTCCATTCGGGATGCGACTGGATAGCGTGCAACGCAATGGTGGCTGAAGGTCAGTTAAACTGTTCCTTGAAGTGTTCTACCCATCGTTCCAGCCGTCTCCTCTACGAGTGAATCGCACACCCGTCTTTCTCCGCTATAGTCTCACTAACCGCAGTTGACCTTTCCCCCCAGTTTCCTTAATAAGTCGGAATAGCTGTCTACTGTTACCAATCGCCTCTACCTTTTCCATCTCTTTAGCCTTCACTGCCCACCGCTGTTCGCGGTCGTTGCGTAGACTTTTTCTCAATATACTTTTAAGTTGCGCTCGCTCTTCATTGTACTCAGAGCCTGCAGGGATGTTTTCACGTGCATCCATTAGTTCGGAAGAAGCTGATGATATCCACTGGCTCTTTTTAGCCACTCATTCGGAGTTGGCTACAGTCCTCAACGCTGCCTTTACAGCAGACTGGAGATGGCACCAAGCTTCTTCTGGATGAGAGACAGTCTTTTGTTTCGATAACTGCCTAGCCAACCTCTTACTGAACGCAGCTTTGGTGTTTTTGTTGTCCAGCAGCACTCGTAGTGGTTTTGTTGCCAGATTTTTCCTGCGTCCATTGAGACGCAGTCATATACGCGCTCGGACCAACGCGTGGTCGCCATCCAAGCATGTACTCCAGAAGGAGTGACAGTCTTCCACCGATTCTCTCCAGCGATGACTAATAGCAATGTGGTCTATCTGTGTCCATCGCTGAGTTGAACTCGGTGGACGCCACGTCAGACAGTGTCTTTCTTTATGTCTGAAATTGGCGCTGGCTAAAAATATGCGGTTATCTGAGCCTAATTGTAATAGGCGATCACCGTTATCTGTTCGTTCAGCTGGGATTCCGAAAGTACCACCTAAGTGCCTTTCTGCCTCACTCAGTCTACCCATCTGAGCATTGAAGTCACCTGCAACAGCCACCACGTCCGGACGTTTGGCTTTCGAGAGGAGACTAGACAGTTTTCGGTAGAACTCGTCCTTCACTTCATCCGAACTACAGCCAGTTGGTTGCGTAAGCAGAGATTACAAAGGGACAACGGCGAGTTTCCCTATTCCTTTTAGTTCTCACTGTGCCGTTCAGCCGGATAGCGCAGAGGCGACTATCAACCGGGATCCAGTCTAGTAGTGAGTTTTCTGCCCTAGTGCTTAATGCTGTCTACACATGCAAGACCACGAGAGCTGGCTATCGAATCTCCAGAAACTCGAAGCGTGAATTTTGCTGACTCACCAGATTGGCTGAGAGAGGTCAGGTGAATAACCGCACTTGGGTCCTGTATGCGTCTCAAAAACACAGCACATATCCATGCCTCGAGTTGCTAGGTTCTTTGCCGACGAAGCCTGTTGACCAACTTGACGGAGGATGTGGATATTTAAGGCTCCAATGTGTAATTTCGAGCGTGGTTTAAGGAGACCAGGGATGCTGTTCTGTGGACTCAGATCGTTGTCGAAGGCTGCAGAGTTAGGAGAAATTGAAGATGATGTAGTATCGTTAGTTGAGAGATGTGAAGGAAGATTAGAAGGTAATGATGGGGGAGGTGGATAGCAGTCTGAGGAAACTTGAGTGCTGACAGAGTTGTGAGGGCGGTTGAAACTTCCCGGCTGCCCACATCGTGGAAGGCTATTTCTTCTCAAGGTACCTGGAAGAGATTTGTGTGACCACAGAACCCATCGGACATCTGCTTGAAGCCTGTCACACAGCCTTTTGTGTATGGTTGTTTTGGGGCCGGATGGTCGAAAGGAAACGACAAATCAACCAACACTGCTGGCCCGACAGACCGTGGGGTGTGGTGGAGTGTGTTATATTTGGAACCGACCTTCTCTAACCCCCCGTTCCACTGAGAAGGCAGCATCAGCATGGCACTGTTGGTCACCCAAGGGAAACACTCTACTGCTGTCACACCTCATCCAGCCGGCAGCAGTACGACCTCGCCCTCAGACCCCTATCACAGTGTAGTAATTTACACCACAACGGTAACTGCTTTTCGTTTAGTCACTATCCAACAGACCTTTCAGGTGTGGTAGGACCTCGAGGGAACAAGTGTTCCGTCAGCATAGCTCGTTGAGTCATTGTGATGTGGAAGCCCGACCACTACGTCAAGGTAGGTGCTATCAGCCGGCAAAATCAATAATACGAGATCATATTCGATTAGTAAACGCCGATTTAGGAGCCGTGGTTTTTCTTTTCTTTGATTACAGTGAGATTGTGAAGGATCACTATTGGTGACGATGAATTTGTATGTAGGATGCTGTTATAGATAGCTTGAGACGACTTATTATTACGGCTTGGTTGACTGCACAATACACGTGTCAGACTAATAAAGTTCTGTTCTTCTAACAATCTAATTATTGGTTATTTGCTTATTTCAGGTACCTCGTGATGTCCTAACTAAAGCAAGTTTATATTTTCATGCTGCTTTCGAGAGCGGCATGTCTGAAAGTAAAACCAGCCAGTTCAGTTTTCCTAACTTCACTGCTCATCAGTTGGCTATGGTTGTCCAGTTCTCACGTTCTGAAGTTACCATATGGAATGATACCTTAGGCATTCAGACCGGTACTTCGGAAAACTCTTCTCAATGTCCGGAAAAGTTAAAAATTCTAGAAGCTTTAGATTTAGCAGATGCAGCGGATTACTTTCAAATGCCAAAACTTATTCAGACTTGTGTGCAAAGAATATCTTATATCATGGACAGCTTGTTTCAGCCAAGATCTATTCATCATCATGAATCCCACGAATGTGATATATTTTCTACAATCTTAAAAGAATTTGTCAAAGTTTCTCATTGTGAGAATGGTTGTGTTTGTAAGCTTTTTGCTGAATACGCTGTAAAATACCCTCATTTTATTCTCAGGCCTTGTCTTTCAGATCTCAGCTTACAGCAACCACTTATTAATGTAGTTATTAGCTACTTATCAAAAAGCATTATATGCATACCAGATGAAGATATTATTCTAGATATGGTTCTTAGTTGGTTGCAAATGTTGAATTCAACTCAGTTTTACACTGAAAATACCGTCCAATCATTTCTACATTGTGTTCGTCCCGGTCTTTTATCTTTACAAGGTCGAATTAAGTTATTGGATTGTTGGCGCAAAGAACACACTGAATTCAAATGGTATGGAAAATTGACATGCGATGATATGGAAACATTTTTCAAAAGTATACCGCTAGGAGGAGTGTTTTCTAAGCCTCCATCACCTCTTTCTCAGATGCAGCTCTTATTATTAACACCTAGGGCGGAGTCTCTATGTTTACTTGGATTAGCTCCAAATCGTTCCAACAGCTCTGTAGAAATCTGGGTTTTCAATCTGCATAATGGAGCGTATCATAATTACCCAATACCATATAGTTGTTTACGTAAACTCGATTTGGACTCCTCTAATGTTGGTGACATAGATCGTCGCATTTACTTTTGTCCAGTAACATACGGACCTCGTTCTTATCAAAGTAACTTATTTGTCATAAGTTTTGATCCAAACAGTGGGACATTAAATGGGTTTGCATGGTGTCTAGCCACCTGCTGTGCGAAACCCATTCCTCGTCTCTTTCTTTCCCTGCAAACAACCGAAATAATGCAGTTGGTTCCTTTTGTTTCCGATCTAGACGCATTGGCCTTACAACTTTGTCTAGTGGTCTCTACATATATTATGTATCGTCCATACAAGAAGTTGCGTGGTTGTGTGCATTTCGTTTTGACCTCAACACATGGAATTGGTACGGAATGGAACCATATTGTCTATCTAAAAGCCAAAATGGAATAATGCTATTTACTCCGATTGAACAGTTGAATTCTGTCCCTCCTGATGGTTGGCTTTACGCTAACATAGAGACAGTTTCCTCTTCAAATAATTCCAGACAGCCACGTCATGGACTTCATCAAACGTCATCTCTCCGGTCACAGTTCTTTCGCTTTCGTCCGAGACCTGACAAAGATATGTTAGTTGTGGAGAATCTACCGAATCCACCTTTCTTGATCAGGATGTATCGTTTATTGGCTATAAGCTGCTCGTCAAGTAGTAACTCTGATGGTGAGTGTTAGGAGTACTGAATATACCTTTTTATGTCTTAGACCTATAACCGTTTCCTTTTACCTCTTTCTAAACAAAGTGATTGAGATAATAAGTACCTTTTGGTGTATTGGGTCGTTTTTAGCAAATTTATTTTGTTTTCTATCATAAATGTTCTTAGGATGCATTTGTGCGAGTCTTTAGGTGCCTTCTATTGATTACTGTTCGTCGGCACCAATTTTTCTGATGCGCCATTTCATTGTTTCTGTATATCCACCAAGATTAACTGTAGGAAACCTATAATGACGACCGTAACAGTAAGGCAGATGATTATTCTCACCACCTCATCTGATACTTGTTCCAAACCATAATCTAAAAAATATAAGTTGCATCTTCAAGTGTTAAAATATTACATTGTATGTTCGTATAGGCTATCTTTCGTGGTATAATTGTTAGGTACATGTTTCGTCCTCACTATAATTTTCCACAAGGGTTGCAGAATGAATTGAACTGGGATTAATGGTACTGGCTAGGCAGATAGTGTGACGAAGGAGGATTTATAGATCAAGCAATCTTATGACGGCCGGGCAAATCCTTATGTGACGTAAGTTAAGTTAGAACCTGATCAGAAGTTGAATCTCGTAGATCAGGTGGTATGGCGTCAGACCGGCAGTCCAAAGCAGCTGGTTCGAATATTATCGTTGCCCAGGTTTTCATTTCACCTTCAATCATAATCTTGTATCGTTAAAATGAATCCACTTTATTTCAAGATTTCTTATCAGCTTCAAACAGCCTAAGATTGTAACAAGCAGTAGAACTAGTGTTTGTTAGACCTGCTTTAAGCATTGATGATGAAAACGGAATTTATGGGATAAAAATAACGGATAACTTAGGACAGTAAGGGAGAAAATAATTACAGGTAATGTTTTCTTCCTTATCACATGCCGCAAATGCCATAAAACGCCTGTTGTTCAAAATAGTCGTACTATCATATATAGTGTCTCAAGGGCAAAAGATGAGACGATTGGATCTATAAATAAAATAATAAAATCCGACCTGTTTATATTAAGGCTACATTAAGCAGTTGGATGCAGGAGATCGAAAGGAAGCATTAGATCAAGGTTTCGTGCATTCTGACACTCGGCAACAAGGCGTATCTACAACTGTCCCGCTAACGCTGTACCCCCTGGGACTCGAACCGACGTGACACAATCCTGCAGTCAGATACGTTGCCACTCAGCTATTCTGGCCCCAACTAACCTCCTTTAGAACTCGGTTACGACATTGATTCTTCGCTGAAGATTAACCAGCCTCATGTTGTCTAATCCCAAGTGATCGTCTCATTCTCTCCATCTGTTTTCCGGCACGACCGCTACGACGTTAACGTGGTGGTCGGGCTTGCATATCACAATGACTCAACGAGCTATGCTGACGGAACACTTGTTCCCTCGAGGTCCTACCACACCTGAAAGGTCTGTTGGATAGTGACTAAACGAAAAGCAGTTACCGTTGTGGTGTAAATTACTACACTGTGATAGGGGTCTGAGGGCGAGGTCGTACTGCTGCCGGCTGGATGAGGTGTGACAGCAGTAGAGTGTTTCCCTTGGGTGACCAACAGTGCCATGCTGATGCTGCCTTCTCAGTGGAACGGGGGTTAGAGAAGGTCGGTTCCAAATATAACACACTCCACCACACCCCACGGTCTGTCGGGCCAGCAGTGTTGGTTGATTTGTCGTTTCCTTTCGACCATCCGGCCCCAAAACAACCATACACAAAAGGCTGTGTGACAGGCTTCAAGCAGATGTCCGATGGGTTCTGTGGTCACATAAATCTCTTCCAGGTACCTTGAGAAGAAATAGCCTTCCACGATGTGGGCAGCCGGGAAGTTTCAACCGCCCTCACAACTCTGTCAGCACTCAAGTTTCCTCAGACTGCTATCCACCTCCCCCATCATTACCTTCTAATCTTCCTTCACATCTCTCAACTAACGATACTACATCATCTTCAATTTCTCCTAACTCTGCAGCCTTCGACAACGATCTGAGTCCACAGAACAGCATCCCTGGTCTCCTTAAACCACGCTCGAAATTACACATTGGAGCCTTAAATATCCACATCCTCCGTCAAGTTGGTCAACAGGCTTCGTCGGCAAAGAACCTAGCAACTCGAGGCATGGATATGTGCTGTGTTTTTGAGACGCATACAGGACCCAAGTGCGGTTATTCACCTGACCTCTCTCAGCCAATCTGGTGAGTCAGCAAAATTCACGCTTCGAGTTTCTGGAGATTCGATAGCCAGCTCTCGTGGTCTTGCATGTGTAGACAGCATTAAGCACTAGGGCAGAAAACTCACTACTAGACTGGATCCCGGTTGATAGTCGCCTCTGCGCTATCCGGCTGAACGGCACAGTGAGAACTAAAAGGAATAGGGAAACTCGCCGTTGTCCCTTTGTAATCTCTGCTTACGCAACCAACTGGCTGTAGTTCGGATGAAGTGAAGGACGAGTTCTACCGAAAACTGTCTAGTCTCCTCTCGAAAGCCAAACGTCCGGACGTGGTGGCTGTTGCAGGTGACTTCAATGCTCAGATGGGTAGACTGAGTGAGGCAGAAAGGCACTTAGGTGGTACTTTCGGAATCCCAGCTGAACGAACAGATAACGGTGATCGCCTATTACAATTAGGCTCAGATAACCGCATATTTTTAGCCAGCGCCAATTTCAGACATAAAGAAAGACACTGTCTGACGTGGCGTCCACCGAGTTCAACTCAGCGATGGACACAGATAGACCACATTGCTATTAGTCATCGCTGGAGAGAATCGGTGGAAGACTGTCACTCCTTCTGGAGTACATGCTTGGATGGCGACCACGCGTTGGTCCGAGCGCGTATATGACTGCGTCTCAATGGACGCAGGAAAAATCTGGCAACAAAACCACTACGAGTGCTGCTGGACAACAAAAACACCAAAGCTGCGTTCAGTAAGAGGTTGGCTAGGCAGTTATCGAAACAAAAGACTGTCTCTCATCCAGAAGAAGCTTGGTGCCATCTCCAGTCTGCTGTAAAGGCAGCGTTGAGGACTGTAGCCAACTCCGAATGAGTGGCTAAAAAGAGCCAGTGGATATCATCAGCTTCTTCCGAACTAATGGATGCACGTGAAAACATCCCTGCAGGCTCTGAGTACAATGAAGAGCGAGCGCAACTTAAAAGTATATTGAGAAAAAGTCTACGCAACGACCGCGAACAGCGGTGGGCAGTGAAGGCTAAAGAGATGGAAAAGGTAGAGGCGATTGGTAACAGTAGACAGCTATTCCGACTTATTAAGGAAACTGGGGGGAAAGGTCAACTGCGGTTAGTGAGACTATAGCGGAGAAAGACGGGTGTGCGATTCACTCGTAGAGGAGACGGCTGGAACGATGGGTAGAACACTTCAAGGAACAGTTTAACTGACCTTCAGCCACCATTGCGTTGCACGCTATCCAGTCGCATCTCGAATGGAACATTGAGATGGGCCCCACAACATCTGCAGACGTCGAGAAAGCGGTAGATAACCTGAAACAATGAAGGGGAGCAAGACCAGACCACCTGCTGAGGTATACAAGGATGGTGGTAGAGTGCTCTTAGACAGGTTAACGGAAGTGTTAGCTAGTATATAGGAATCAAATACGATCCCCTCTGACTGGTCTAAATCACTTATCATCCCAGTCTTTAAGAAAGATAAGAAGTCCTGTGGTGATGACCACAGAGGAATTAGCCTGACGAACATAGTGTTTAAGATCCTAGGTTCTATAATTCTTCGACGCCTGAGTGTAGCCCGGGAACAACTAGCCCGAGAAAACCAGGCAGGATTTAGACCCGGTCGCGGGTGTATCAACCAAATATTCACACTGCGCCAGGTCCTGGCACACAGACACGCTTACAGACGCCCGACAAGAGCTGTATTTCTCTACCTGAAGGCAACATTTGGCTTAATTGATCGAGAAGTTTTATGGCAGTGTCTCTCACTGGAAGGCGTGTCGAGTAAGTACATCACCTTATTGAAGGCTCTCTACTTGAACGCTTGTGAGCGTGTTAGAGCCTATGGTGAGATGTCCAGAGAGCTGTACTCGTCGGGTGGTGTCCGTCAACGCTTCCTACTCTCCTCATTCTCATTAAATTTCATCATAGATATTCTTGTGGCAGTCTCCCTCTTGTCACCTGATTACACATAGGTTGACCTAATTGCAGGAGAATTTTCGTTAGACCTAGAATGTCCAGATGACATAGTCCTGTTAGGTGAAGACAGTGACAAAATGCAGAGTCATCCGAACATTTTGAGTGGGAAGTTGAGAGTGTTTGGGATGCGTTTCTCACCACCAAAATGCAAATTGTTGCTCCAGGATTGGTCTTCAACGGTGCCCCCACCTCGGCTAACAATAGAGAGTGAAGTGGTTGAGTGTGTCGGCCACTTAACTTACCTGTAAAATTGGATCAGTCGTGGTACGTTGGTCAGTGGCTGGTGAAATCTCTCCACGGATACAAAAGTCTCCGTTGGCTTTTGCCAACTTACGCCACCCGTGGCGCCACCGTGATATCCGATTGTCTATTAAGGGTCGCGTGTACTGCACAGAAGTCCGGTCTGTTCTACTGTATGGCAGTGAAACATGACCATTGAAGGTGGAAGACATGAGAAGGCTTCAGGTTTTTGACCACCGTTATCTTCGTAGTATAGACCATATTCCGTGGTGTCACCACGTGAGTAACGCAGAAGTCAGGTGTGGAGTATTCGGAAGAAAATGCGAGTCAGTTGACGAGGTTGTGATTCTTCATCGACTTAGATGGTTAGGACACGTGTTGCGTATGCCTAGTCACCGATTGCCTCGTCGCACAATGTTGGTCGGAGTAGGTTCAGGCTGGAAAAAGGTCTGAGGTGGTCAGACTAAAACATCGCACCAATGTATCAAGTCTTTGACTGTTGGTTTCAGCCATGTGGGATGATGCAGACTAGCCGGTTGGAGTCCATGGGACAAGAGGAACCAATGGTTGGAGACTCTAGGTGATATGTCTCAGAACCGATGTCAGTGGCGCAGATGTATGCACACATTATCCTCATCTTAACGACGCTATAGCGAATCTCACCATTTTCTCATTCTTCTCTTCCCTCTTTCCGTACTTTATATTTCTTTTGACTGGACTTTCTTATCTTCATCTTGCACTTCACTGCCTTTTTACTTGATGTACTGATATGAGGTGTGGTAACTCGGACTGTTACGCGGTAATTCCTGGGTCTGTTTTGTTCTTGATATGTGTTATAGCGTATGATTTTGGAATGAACCCGTGAGGCTTGTTGAGTCGATGTTTCGATTCAGTGAGACTGGTGTTGGTTAGATGAAGGAAGTCTGCATGATTCCTTGGGTCAACGTTTCGTGCTTTTTGGCACTCATCAGTGTGGCCTGCCCATAGCTTTTGCTGAACTGGTGTCTCGCCTGAAATTCTATGCAACTAGCTTATGTTTAGTTGAATCCTAGTGCTGAGCTGCCCAGTCTGGTGGCCACATTCCTAAAGTGGTTATAGAATTCCAACAGCAATTCTGGCTAGTCAATATGAAGTTGGTTTCCCTGTTGTGACCAATCAATGTGACTTTATTGTTTATATAGTTTGTGTGTTAGTGTAAGAGTCGTATTTCGTTGTCTTTGGAGCAATTGAAACCCGACTAATGAATGTTACTCAGTTTTGTCTATGGCTGCTATTGCTATGTGGCATAAATATGACTGGTATCTGTCTAAGCATGATGATGAAAAGCAAATTATTAAGAGACTTTAGAAAACTATTCTTAAGTTAAAAGATTTCAAAGATCATACTTGTATTATAAATCAATTTACTATAACATTTTGTTCAGTTTAGATCAAGGATAAGAAGAAATCTGGCGTCATGGATTGGTTATTTGGGAGTGAAATTTTCAAGTGATTCGCAGTTATGTTGGGAAGTGTAACTCAACCCTCTACATGGCCTAGGTATTAGGCTATGAACCACACTTGAGTGCCAGTAAGACTACCTAGTTGTCCAGGTTGAAATACAAATTTACATGAGTTCACTGGCTGTTATCGTTTAAAGTGTCAGCTCATTAAATATGCAGTCTTTAATAAAGTATACCTCTCCATACGTTATTTGTGTTGTGTATATCAGTAGAAATTAAAACTGACCTTTTTGATTTGTAATTGAGATAGGAGTATTATGAACATCCTGTTTTAATTTTTGTTGTGTGAATTCTCTTTTGCAGATAAGACATATTTATTTCCTATGGGAACCTGTTCTCGTGATTTAGAGGCTACACATTACTGCTTTGATACATTGTCTTGCCGATGGCTTCGATGGTCACCTGTTCACAGATCAAACAATGATGAGTTAGATCCTGTTAGACAGTACTCCGTGGAAAATAATGAATTGACATTTAATCTGTGTCCAAAAGTCCTCGGTTTTCGAGGTCTTGTTTGTGCTACACACCTTTTGAAGGAATCCGATGCAACCAAATCATTGCCTAAGTCATCATTTTCAGTGAGCTGCTATAAGTCACTTGAATTGCCTAGTCATTCGCATTCTTCATACGTGAATGAAGAAAGCCCATCAAATATTGATGAGAAAAAGTTGACAACAATCCTAGTTCTAGCTGGGAGACCGGATCAAAACAAGCATGTCTCTTGTGGAATATGGTTTCATCATCCTCAGCATTATGATAACATCAATGAAACAGTTAAACTATTTGATTCTGAAAAACCAAATTATTTTCTACCAACTGCCGTCGCTCAAACCTTGGGACAGTATTTTTCTCCAGCCGCTGTGGTTTTAGCCAACTGGACGCATATTATACAATCTGTAAATCCGATGAATTTCTTGAGTAACCCATCTAAGCAACTAGAAAAAACTGAAGTCAGTTGCGAATTTAACAGATTATCATATGATGATGAAATTTTCTATGAAAATTCAAACTGGTCATGTGACAGTGATTGAATACACCGTTTTCAGTTTCTTTTTAGATGGTAAAAGAAACAAAATCAGTGCATAGAAATGGCATTTCCATACTTCACTTTGATCAGTGCAATATATACATGTATGTATAGACTTTACAGAGAATGGTTGTTCATGTAACAGATTTACTTAGTATTTTCTCCCCTTGATGATTTACTGCATTTATTTTATATTACTATTTAGAGTGGATTCCTATTCTTTGTACTACTATATGTTTAATGATCTCGATTACTTTTTGTCCCCATGTGAATGTGTGTTTATGCGTGCCTTCTTCCTTTCAAAGTTGATATCTTCAGTCACTATTCTCCAATGTTATTTTTTTCTAATATTTTATTATTAATTTCAACCATATTCTCTGATTTCGTTCGTTTTGTAGATTGTATTCATCGATTCAAAAAATTTTTTTTCTTCGTTTGTATACTTCACTCAACAAGAGATTGCCATTTTGTGTACAATTTAGTTTTTATACATACTTTGTTTAACACTGTTATGAGTTTTAATTTAATCTGAAGTTGAACTACATTTTAAGAGACAACAACTTCAAATTGAAGAATCCATCTATCATCCAAATCAACATAGGACCAGACATTACTGCGTAACAGTCCGAGTTACCACACCTCATATCAGTACATCAAGTAAAAAGGCAGTGAAGTGCAAGATGAAGATAAGAAAGTCCAGTCAAAAGAAATATAAAGTACGGAAAGAGGGAAGAGAAGAATGAGAAAATGGTGAGATTCGCTATAGCGTCGTTAAGATGAGGATAATGTGTGCATACATCTGCGCCACTGACATCGGTTCTGAGACATATCACCTAGAGTCTCCAACCATTGGTTCCTCTTGTCCCATGGACTCCAACCGGCTAGTCTGCATCATCCCACATGGCTGAAACCAACAGTCAAAGACTTGATACATTGGTGCGATGTTTTAGTCTGACCACCTCAGACCTTTTTCCAGCCTGAACCTACTCCGACCAACATTGTGCGACGAGGCAATCGGTGACTAGGCATACGCAACACGTGTCCTAACCATCTAAGTCGATGAAGAATCACAACCTCGTCAACTGACTCGCATTTTCTTCCGAATACTCCACACCTGACTTCTGCGTTACTCACGTGGTGACACCACGGAATATGGTCTATACTACGAAGATAACGGTGGTCAAAAACCTGAAGCCTTCTCATGTCTTCCACCTTCAATGGTCATGTTTCACTGCCATACAGTAGAACAGACCGGACTTCTGTGCAGTACACGCGACCCTTAATAGACAATCGGATATCACGGTGGCGCCACGGGTGGCGTAAGTTGGCAAAAGCCAACGGAGACTTTTGTATCCGTGGAGAGATTTCACCAGCCACTGACCAACGTACCACGACTGATCCAATTTTACAGGTAAGAAAAGAAAGGACAAATCAACCAATACCGCCGGCCGGACAGACCGTGGGGTGTGGTGGAGTGTGTTATATTTGGAACCGACCTTCTCTAACCCCCCGTTCCACTGAGAAGGCAGCATCAGCATGGCAGTGCTGGTCACCCAAGGGAAACGCTCTACTGCTGTCACACCCCATCCAGCCGGCAGCAGTACGACTTCGCCCTCAGACCCCTATCACAGTGTAGTAATTTACACCACAACGGTAACTGCTTTTCGTCTAAGCACTATCCAACAGACTTTTCAGGTGTGGTAGGACCTCGAGGGAACAAGTGTTCCGTCAGCATAGCTCGTTGAGTCATTGTGATATGCAAGCTCGTGCACTACGTCAAGGTATCAGCTTTCGGTCTAGTAAATAAACGAAAACTTTTTGTCTAGATGTCGTTTCGTGAATGGGATTGGTAGTTATGTTTTTTAACCTAAATATGATATATCGTCATCTACATTGCTATTACTACTGTTTAAGTTAACGTATGTTTCCAGTTATAAACGCATTAAATGATTTGTTATGACAGTCAAAATCACTTGGAATGAAGTTTCTCTGTAGTTGTTTGCTTTAAAATCCACTGATTTTACCAGCGTCAGTGTTAGAGTATAAGTTATATTTCATTACTTGATGAAGGATAATGGTTTCCATTACTTTAAAATGTTGAAGCAAATGTTTTACAACAAAATCTAAATAAATCTACTCGTTTTATCAACAACAGTAGAATGTTTCATTCACTTCATAGGATATGTAAGGAAGAAGGGTTTGTGAGTAGGGAAAAATACACTGTCCAAACCAGCAAGGAAATACATTGCAAATACGCGTAGTATTAATTATGATCTCAAGCTCCTTCCTCTAGAGTCAGTTTACCTATTCTCAGAGATCATCATGACACTAACTGGTAAACATGTAACTTGGTTTTTACCACCGTTCTTTTGGAAATTCACCCTTCGTACAAGATATTATCACTGGCTTCGAGACATTAAATAAAACCATATCCTTGAGTCTGCATTCGTTCTGTGTTATGGACTGCCGCACGTAGTATAGGTTTGTTCCCTTCAGTTGGGCTACAAAATACGCAGTATATTTTGAAGATATAAGTAGTCAGACACTACTAATGTGGGTTTTATTTCTGCAAGTACTACCAGTGTTTCTAAATTATTAAGTGGTATATGTATATAATCAATACATAAAGAGTAAACTCTCTTCTTTACACAATAAAGGAAAGCCGTATAAATAACCACGGTATCAATTCGTTGCTGGTAGTCACTCTACACATCTGGTACCCCAGTGTAATTCAACATTGGTAAGTGAAAAGCATATAGCAAATGTTGGGAGAACCCCTTTCAGTTTTTCAGGCGTAACCATTATTTTGCTCGTTCTAGATAGTCCATAGGACACAACTTCAGTATTTATATTAACGCGTCAACAGATAGCACACAGTTTGTATTTGGTTATTGTTCAGGCTAAAATCATTCATAAGACAGTGGTGCAGTAGCAGAGTTTTTTAACAGAATACTATCTACATTAATGATGAATAGCGGCTGGCAGTGGAATCCGGAATGCGCGTTTCGTCCTATTTGGGGCTGGTCAGCTGTGTGTACCTGCCTCCCAGTGAGCGACGTCGTTACAACTAAGACTCGATCTCTGAACCGATAGCTTCAAACGCTAGAGTGTTACCCGCTAGACCACCGAGCCACGATAACCACTTCTTGTGCAACGGGTGTATATATAATGTTGTTGCTTCTAATATCCCGTCACTGACTGGACCGAAGTAATCGGTCTCTATTATTTTATGAGCTGCTGCGTGGATATGTCGATACTGCCTGTGTTTGACTAGTATACTAATGACACGCACGAAACTATCTTTTTGATAGCAACAAGCAGAATGGACAGGAATTTTTGTTTCAGCTGAAACCCACAATTGCTGTTAGTTTGTATTTAGTCATACTCAATGAACTAGATCACGTTGCAACATACAAAAGACAACAAGATATGATTTTAAATGCTCTTGTCTAAATAACCGTTATTTGCTAATCTGTATTTGTTTATCAAATTAATTTATTTTATGGATGTGGAGTTTGAGTCTCAGTGAGAACGACATCACTCACTGGGGTACATGTACTTCCAACTGATGAGACCTAAGGAGAACAAAAGATGCATCCTGAATTCCACTGATAGCCACCAAGTAGACTGTAACATCAAATTAGTTGAACTTTTGGAGTTGACTAGCTGTTTACTTCATGGCAAAAACTGAGACGTAAGAGAAACTGGATCCCTTCTCATGAGATTTCGTAGCAGTTTGTGAACAGTTAGGAGAAAATACAATTATTTCAACAAGTAATTCTTATTAATTACTCCACTTTCCTAGATTTTTAACCTTTCATAACTGCCTTTTTAACCTATTTCTATTGACTCTTTTGATCACTTCTGTTTTAGTTAAACATCTTGACTAGACAAAATAATTAATTAAATATAATGCATAAGTAATAACAACTCAGGAAATAGGTACTTCGCTAATAATATTTAACTTGTAAGAAGTTTCTACTCAGATTCAACAACCAGTGTGAGAACCGGCATTATTGAGCACTGGTCCATCTTCATACCTGAAATCGACGTATCAGTATACAAAATAATAAGACGAAAGATAAGGAAATGGAAATATAATGGTGAAGTAGTAGAAAGCCACAAAGCAACAAAAAGGAGGACTAAGCCATATGGTGAAACTCGATACAATGGTGGTGTTGAAGATTAGACATAGAGACATCTGCACGATCGCAATCAGTGTTGAAATGAATCTCTTAGGACTCAAAACATCCGTTTCAGTTGTCTACAATACCCAGCACCACTTAGACTAAAATTAGGAGACTTCATAGACCGATGTAACGTTTTAGTCTAGTGACCCTTAGCTTTTCTAACCTAGTTTTACTTCAGTGTTGGGTTAAATGGTCGGCCGTCATGTACAGTACAATTCTTAGTCACCTCAGTTGTTGAAGGTTTATAACGTAATCAACTTTCTTATTTTCTCTCGCATGAACGATGCCAAAAAAACAACAGTGGTCGAATACTTGGAGCCTTCTTCTCTTTTCAGACATTTATCACATTGTTTTGCAGCCATACATAGGAAGCTAGCTAACTACTGAACAGCATACTGAACACACCAATACCACAGATAGCATTACTCGGTGAAAGCCAAGGGAGGCTTGTGTATCCATGCCAAATTAGGCTTTTGTTTGTGCTTGAAACTCGCTAATACATGAATTACGTTAGCACAGTGTCCTACTCATGTAAACGAGTGTAATACTTCGGTGCACTTAAATTCTGTTAATGGCTAATGAAATCATCCACACAGAGGAAAGTAGGCATCTGAAGCAATCCCTGTAATCAGAGTACTTGAACGCAACCGAAAAAGGGATGAGACACTGAAGATAGTTGTTAAGTGTATGATCAGTTTTAACAACTGAAGTTGCATTTAGTTAAACGCAGCCACACAAGAAAAGGGAACTAACCTGTAGTGGTAAAAAATAACTTTGTCTGACATATCGGTTGAGACTGATAATCAGTTTTCAT